CATACCAGATACTTTTTATCATCAAACTGGGGTTGTGAAAAGTATCCTTAATGAGCAAGCAAAAATGCCCCAGCAATCAAAAGCAGCACGAGCTAAAGTTACTGTAATTACTGACGCAAGCATTTCAGATTGATGCAGCTCAGCAAGAGCTCCTCTGTCTCTGAGGAACATCCGCTGTTGGCCTTCTAGTAAGCATAAATATGAAGCTCATGCTAATCTTGGTATCTATTAGGAGGCTCCTTCCTGAAGGAGCCAGTTGTCTATAGGGTGCCTGAGACGTCAGCCGCCCCGTTCTTTATCATTATAATGAGCATGCGCCCTGATGCCAAGCGGGCATTGTGCTTTGTAGAGATAGGAGCACTGCTTATACAGTGACCTTGTTTAAAACCAGGTTCCCCGTCTCCTTGATGTTCCTCCCACAAAGGTAAGAGCTCGGTAATTGCATGCAGCCCTGTAAAATGAGCAAAGAGGGACCTCCATGTCTTCAAGTATAGAGGTGGGGAGAGTGTGGGACACAGAGAGAAATATAGTAATAAATAGTATAGACATGGATGAGGAGGGGAAACACAGCAAATGCATTCATACTTTGACTGGTAGTCACAAGGACACTCTAAACTCTCTAGTGGGAATTTAATTTGCCCTCTTTGTACCGTGTAGTATGAATCCCTGATGAATCATTAAATAATAGTAATAGGCCCAAATTATACATGTTGCTTTTCTCCAAAACATCTCTCAGAAGGTGCCCACCTGTGCTGCATTCACCTCGGATCTATTCCTCAGCAGCTGGCGCTCTCTCTTCAGTTACACAACGGTAAAAGCTTTCAGTCTCGGGTTGGAGAGTCAAGGATTTTTCCTTTTATTTTTCGAGTCCAAAATGTCTTTTTTGAAACACACTGACTGAACTACACGACCTGTTACTCACACACATTTATTTTCAACCATTGCTGGTGCTTTAAATATTCACACACATATGCAACATACACCAAGCAGCTTGAGGACATTGACCAAATGTACAATTCTGCATGTCAGTGTGGGAATATAGCACAGGCTGTACATACATACTGTGCCTCAGTCAGCAGGATAGTTATACACACAAACTGCAACCACGGCATTTACTAGAATCTTAACTGCATAACATTTAGTGTCTGATTTCAGTTTAATCAGGGCAGCGCCATCTGGGAGGAAGCATTGCCTGAAAGGATCAACGCTACACAGAATAGCTCCGTGGGGCAACAAGTGCTCAAATCACTTCCAGCTAGTTTACCACAATATTTGTAATGAATTAAATTAGTAATTTGTAAATGTAAAATAGAGACAGTGTTATTACAGCTGTGGTAATTACAGATGTGAGTTGGTGGTCATTAGTCTACTGCGGACTCTTATCTGGCAGGAACGGGTTTGACTCACCCGTAGTCTTGAGACAGCCCTCTCTTCTCTTATGTAGCCAGTTCAGGTTTGATTTCATGGGTAAAATGTTGAATGGAAATCTTTAAAATTGTCGCAAAGGGAAACAAACATATAATCAAACACTTCACCCTGGCACCGGTGCTCTCCTGCCGTCTCCCGGGGGTTTTGCCTTTAGCGGTTAATGAGAAGTCAGACTTGTCCCTCGATCTGTGACATCCGTTCTGTCCCTCCAATCTCCTTCCACACGCCACATCTACCAAATGATAAGACTGATCATAAGAGTTACACACAGGCAGAGCATCTCATAATATACACATTTCCACACGATGTAGTTAGTTACACTTTTTCAGCTGTTTTCTCACAAATGCATGTCCGAGCCCAGCCAATGCTTTTCTATTCCATTCTATGAAAACAATAGAAACATTGCAGATGTGTCGTGTCAGCGCTCGGAGAACTTGGCTTGCATGCATCCAGTACGTGTGTTTGTGTGTAACGTGTCCAACATTGCCAAAGTCAATCAACCTCCTAAAACGGGCTCGTAACCAATTTTCTGGTCAATGGACAATGAGCATTTAGCACAACCTCGCCATTGTGCTCTCTCTACCGACCCGGTGCGGTATGCCCAGTGCAGGAAAAAAAAAAACTGCTGCCTTTCCCAAAAAAATGGCTTTGAATGGATTGAATAAAGGCGCAGAGAGTGCTTAGTGGAGCGGTGAAGGTCAAATAACCATTCGACGAGCGCAACAGATGCAATGAGGCCCGCAGATGGAATTCACAGCAACCGTCCGTCCATGTATGCGCCCGGTTCGTGTGCAGAGTAAAATGCGAGCGTTAGTGCGTTCATCCCGCCATACAAACACGTGCGCGCTCCAGCACACACACACACACACACACACACACACACACACACACACACACACTGTATGTACCTACGCATGGATGACGACATCAACGTACACCGACATGCATTCACGCAGAAATACTTTGCCTTTTTGCCTCCATCCATAAACGCAAGCGACAAGGTAAACAAAGACAACACTGACACTGATGTGGTAGCATTGCACTGTACAAACTGTACTTTATTGTTCAGCTCCTCTTTGCTGTGACACTGATAGATAAGGCCCGACTGCTGACTAAGGACAGAAATGTACACAAGAACAGACGTACTGCACTTGGGCTGCATCTCAATAAGCGGAACCCACTTCCTTTGCTCGTCATCGCTCTGATTACCAGCCTTAAGTTTACAGTGAGATTCAATTCCTCCAGCGTCGGGAGGATTCTGAGGGAAGGAGGTGGAGTCATTTAAAGGAATGGTGATGTTTGTGATCATATCACGAACACGTCTACACCCCAAGAACAAGGAGTGAAGCGTCATGTCCAACCAGGAACTCTCTGCACAGCACTGCACTTGGCAACGAAAGGCTCGTACGTGTGTAATCTCAACAGCACCCGAGATATTTTTAGCATTTAGGGCATCAAGCAATAGAAGAAACTACATTTTGGCTTTTAGCAAAACAATCCTGATTCAAACTGGTTTTGAGTTAGTGCTCAGCAACTGCAGAAAGAAAAGATCAGCACATTTAAAGGGTTAAAGTGGCCCTGTGGAGTTAACGATCAAGTCAGTGTTACTCAGCAAACATTTGAGATTTAAACAAATGTGTGGTCATTGTTCTTTCGAATGCAACATCTGCAAAAGCCAACTTTTGGAGTATTTTAAATCCTGCATCGTTAACATCCATGTTGGCTACAGCCACATTAGCAGCTTCCTTCCCTTTCTTTGAGGCGTCACCACTGACACCCGTCTGTCAGCAGACCAGCGTGAAGTAAGCAACGGGACAGTGGACAACCTCACCTGTAGGTGCTCATGGACCTTATAAGCAAACACTGCTTATAACAGTGAGGAGTTCAAAAGCTTTCTCAGAAAATCTGCACATTGTGAAAGAGTGTTACAGGAGTGCAATGCTAAATCGGTGTTGTCTTTCAAATAATGATCCTGTGCATTACAACATATGGATATTCATGCAGCGAAAGTTAGACCCACCAGTGTTCTTCTCCGTTGGTCAGCGGTGTATATAGTATGATGCTGTAGGCTGATTTTTCCAATGTATATAAGGCAGTACTACACTTCAAATATCACCAATTCTGTGCTTTTACTGTATCACAGCAGGGGATAGTCTTTAATAAAAAGAATGTCACAAATTACATGTTCTCGATACGATGCAACAGCAGTGCCAAGTGTTTTCATACCCGGTCTCCTTTTCTTTCCCATGCTGATGTGTTTTTATTTAAATCGGAGAGCTCACCACATGTTGAACCACAGACAGAATCCCTCTGTAAAAAGGTCTAATGAAGCAAATCTCTATTTGACGGTGACCCCGCGAGAACGTCCCGACAGCGCACCGTGTTTACCAGCAGACGGATACTCGCGAGGGTCACGTCTGTGTGACAATAACAGCTTAATTAAAACCCACAAGCCTCGTTTGTTACCCCCTCCCCTCGTAGACGGTGAACAGTGTTTCCCATTCTGCGAGCCGACCCTTTGATTCGAGTTTTCCGACAACCTTCTAACACAATCAGTCCTCGTTTGAACGTGGTCTACTCTCGGATATCCCATACATATGGATGAGCTTCTGTTTTACACACACTTGATGCTCAGCAGCGCTTTCCTTTGCACTCTAACAAGCAGCGTTTCTTCAAGTGTTTCGTCTCGTAAACACGTCTATTTGCAACAGAACGCCGCATTAAATCCAGCTAAGACACATTAGTTAAACAATCTTTAAACATTGAAACATTTTTCAGTACAGCCAGCCGACCCGGCCCCATATCTATGTGATATGGTGGAGTTGTATAGTATAGTCATAGTGGGGTTGAGGGTAAACCTATTGAAACACAGCTCACCCATCTATTGTCATGGGGAAAACAGTGTTTCCCTTCCTTTCTGCTCAAAAACATTTAAGATGGAAAAAATGATCCTATGTATCACAGCAGGTGTTTGAGATGTGTGATGTGAAATGTGAAAAGATACCTTTGAGAGGACAAACCACAAGAATGTATGCGTATGAACTCTCTCGAAAAGGGACTGTCCGAAAACTATTAGGGGATCGAGGTCAAAAAACGTGACGGCTTTAAGTGTATAAATGAAATAAACAGAGGACAACACTCCTCTTTAACTGTTTTAGGGCTTCATTTTAGCAATCAGTCAACTAGATAAGAGACCAAACACAAATAATGTGAAAAAATACATGTGGATTTTCATTGATACAGGTGATTAAATGTCTTTTTCCGTGACTTTAGCCAACAGTGTCATATAAAGTTGGCCTTTAATTTAAATAAAGTTTAGCCTCTTATTTAGTATACCTTAAGGCCTTTACACACAGAGGGTTTGATAAATAGATAACAGAAAAAACGTGAAATACTTATGCCTTATTGTGAACGTGAGTAGTGGATCTGGTCTGCCTTTGTCGAGGTTGAAAAGAGTAATAAAGTTTGCCGTCTTGGTTCGGACTACCGAGCCTCAGGATTGTTGTTAAAATCCTCATAAATACGCAACTGACCTCAACCGCACAGTGTGATTGGTTGACGCCTTTGTTCACGATGCGAAAGCTGAGAAAAATCAACCTTGTTCAGAAAAAAAAAAAAAAAAGAAAAACGCACCGCTTTTTCGACGCGTAATGTTGTATGAAAATAACAGTTCAAAAAATTAATTTAAGTGCAAATTAATTGCACAGAAAAAAAACCACCCTCGGTGTGTAAAAGCTTTTACTCTGAAGTAAACAGTGGCTGGAATTTTGTTGAATTTGGAATTTTGGATTATTTTTCCATCGTTATATTAGGGTTATTCTTTGCCTCTTTTAGTCAGTAATAGTTAAGTGAGTTGTAACAACTAAGTACTTATTTAAAGATAATGGGAGAACATCAATAGCTCTGGGGGGTCTTGCTTTTTCAGATAGTGAATTATAAGATTCACCCCCCCCTCCCAACCCTAATAACTTTTGTACAGTCCCAAATAGATTTTGTTTTTTATCAGGTGTGTTAACCCAAATCCATTCACATGCTCTTTATGTAGAATTTAAAAGATGCTTTTCATAACCACTGCATCCCCGGTCACATTAAGATGTGTTTTTCTGCAGATCTTCCATTAGCCATAATGATAATAATATAACAGAAGTAGGAAAAAGGAATGCCCACTGCCTTGTGGTCCACAGCAGAGAATGTGAATCATCATCTAAAATGTAATGGCACTATAATGCTGACACATTAGCTGAAAAGCAAAATTCATTTCCCCAGATAATACTTAAATCCACACCCTCCGCTCCGTTCCCAGAGCAGGAAAGCAGCTACAAAACACTGTTGGCACTGTGACCAAGAAACACCGTCACTACAAAACTGAGCGGAGTAAGAAAAAAAAAAACACCTCTCCATCGTCTCATTGTGTTTGAGATTAGAGAGAGCAGTCCAGGACAGTTCCTGTGCAGTTTGCAGAGAGTCTTTTTGTGTCTCAGTGAGGTAAGAGGTGCTGTATGATTGGGTTCACTGCTAGGCCGCCTCAGGCGAGTCGTTTGTCCTTTACTCAGCCCGGCGATGCACAGACACATTTACATTTCTCCTAGACACGTCTCCAAACCTCCACTGAGGCTCTGAAGGTCCGTCAGACACCCCTAATGTCCTCACACACTGTAAGCCTGTGTGTCACAGTCCAAGGAGGTCCTCCTCGGCCTACAGAGTGAGAGACTATTAGTTCAGCGGCTCTTGGGAGGGGGGGGGGGTTAAAGGTCGCCACTCTGGGGTTCAGGTCTGGTTTCCTGGTTGCGGCTGCGGCCCAGTCTGGGGAAGCGGGATGACGTTTTGGACCGGGGCGTCTTGGACCCGCCGTCGTTGGCCTGGGGTGTGTCTCTGAATGAGAGAAGACAGCAAGAAGGAGAAGAAAGGAGCCATGGGCTTTAGATGAACATCTGGCAAAGATTATTACACAGTTTATTATTCAAACAAACCACTGGTGCTGCATCTGGAGACTTAAATGCATCATTTCCCTTCTGCCAGAGGACCTTCTCTCGGAAAACCGAACATTTGTCAGAGCAGCAAATAGAGAAGCTTTCATGCACCGAATAAGCTGAATATAAATTATTCTGCATTAAACGTGCATAAAGCTAATGTTAGCTCCATGAGTTGGTTGAAAATGCTGTCTTTGGTTTTGGCTTTATGTAGTTTTTGTGATATTGTGCTCTTGTATTGTAGTGCTGATTAGTCTTCAGGGGAGGGACTTGGCAAACAATTTTTTCAACATCTAAAATCAATCAATCGACTTTAGTCACATGCGATCGCATACTGTTCCAGTGATCCCGCCAGTTTCCTCATTACTACTCCCCTCTCCACCAGCAGCCAGTCTTCGTGACACGAGAAATCGAATTACAGTCATCTCTGATTGCACGATGATGTCAAGGCCTCTTATTACTCAGGAGGATATAATCTCGGCCGCTTAATGACATCATTGCCCCAGTTACCCTGACGACCATGTGAACCCCTGATCCCCGAGTCTCATCCGGTAACAACAAGGAGGAACGAGAGGCACTTGTTGGGGGGAAAAGCCTGCAGTTCAATGCTTTCTTGTTGCGTTTCTTCTGAAGCTTTCATCTCCAAAACGGCGACCTCTGAGCTGCTGCTTGTGACGAAGCAGTGATTGGGTTAATAGAAGCGGTGGGTTCAAGTGCTTCTTTGACAAAAGGGATTTTGAATTTTCATTAAAAACAACGAAGAGGCAGAAGGCATTTCCCCGTCGATGTCCAACCGGCCTCTTCAATGACGCATCCCAGCTGCTAGCGCTGTGATTAAGGTTATCTGGGACATCTGGGTGGTCCTGGAGTTTGATTCCCACAAGAACACCACAAGCTATAAATAAATGCACTCATGGTGAGGCTGATAGTGTCACCGCGGGCCATATGCTTGTATGTGAGGCAGCAGGGGCTAAAAAAAATTTAAAAAAGCAGCACAGTAAAAGGGCGGAGAGGCTCTGTCATGTTCAAATAGGCTGAGCTATGGAAGAGACCGGCCTGAAAGCACAGATTCAAACTTAAGTATGTCTGCCTTAACTGTCCCGATCAAACAGCTCCGGGGGGGACCAGATAATATGGGACCAGCCTGAGCTTTGCTAATAAGGTGAACATTATTCTGTTTTCCTCTGGCACTGAATGCACATTCATCAGTGGCACAAGTACCACTCTCCGCCGCGCCAGGCAAGCTCAATGAGGAGTGCAGTCACACATTTTGAACTTGACCAAGGTTGGCCAAAAAGCGATGCAATGGGGAGTTATATCAGCAAAAAATGGTACTAAATTGGGGGCAGCGTGCGGAGTCGAAACCACAAGCCGTCTCATTTATTCATATCAAACTGGGCAAAGGGGCTAAATGTGCTAAATTAATTAGGCTTATACCTTTTCTTTTCTCCAGCTCTCAGCATGTGCTTGTCCCCCATTTGGACAGGATATTGACTTGTGCAGGATAATAACTTTTCCAGGCACCGTTGGAATATTAATAATTTGACCGCAGAGGTGCATAATTAGGATAAAGAGGTACACAAACCCAAGCATGCATCAAATTGATTGTCTAACAGCAAAAGGCGGGGGTGTGGTGATTAGTTGTCTGAATAATAAATGATTCCCAGTACATTTCCTTTCACACACACACACACACACACACACACACACCTCAAGCAAAACCATCGTGCACGTGCACAGGCAGACATACATGAATTGTCACAAAACAAAAAAAGGTCACATCCTCATTCTGAAGTCGAACTGCACGACCATGAGGCGATGGTCTACACCATTTTTCTCCGAGGCAGCGGGTCAATAAGGCCAGAGCCCAGCCGGAGAGTGTGTACTTTGTGCTCTGAGTAAACCGTTGCGGTCGAGCTGCATACTAAGTGGTGGCAAATCTGGGGAGAGGTGTGACCAAGTCGCTGTTGCAGACAAGTGAGGGAAAAATTGCAGCGCTCAAGGCCAAGTGAGCGCGTCGCAGAGGCACAAAGAGATCCGTGCCCAACATGAACGCTGCTGTACAGGCCTGTTACATTTATAGAAACTTGGTCCACATATTAGTGTTACAAAGGTGAGTTAGTGGTGACCTATGGGCGGTCAGTAAAAACAACACTCGGAGTCTACAGACATGCTTGCAGCTCTGCGATTTCAAGCTCCCGGGAGCGCTTATTTGATCCACTGAAAACACAAGATGTCATCCACTCTTTATCTTTATAGCTCCTCAGTCACCTGGTAACATTCACAGTGAAAGTGAACAATCTGAGGAAGCATATCTTATGTTTAGTCCATTAATGTCCATAAACAGCGGAATTAGGGCCGTGGAAATGAACATTTTGCTGAATTTACCATGTTCATACACCGCCTATATTGGCAACGGGCCTTGATCTGTTTGTGCTGCATCATATCTGAGACTTGGCCACTATTTGAGAATTGACAGTGTGCAGTGTTTTCCTAATTTGGATGAGACATGGTTGTTGCATAATCAAGCAAAGTACGGTTTCTATTTGGGGCCAAACAGCGTTCTCGCTTACCTCTGCATCTTCTCCGTGTTCCTTCCCGCCCCCCTCATCAAGTTAATGACCAGACTAATCAGGCTTTCATCCCTCACTGAAGATGTTAGACCAGCGCAGGTTTCATCATGTTAAACCATTAAACACCATGACAACACCGGCAGGCCTCAGCGCAGCATCAGCGACAAACTACAGAGCACTGTATGCCTGTATACACACACACACACACACACACACACACACACACACACACACGAGCCAAAAATATCATGGTATGCTGATCGGTGTTGATTCGATGTCGGCTGCGATTCCATTGCGTCGTGGTCGTGAGAAATCCAGTGGCGGCACAGATCACAGCGGGCCCAGAGAAACCTGCACATGCAAGTAAAAGTCCTGAACCATCAACTTTACTCCATGCGATGCTCAAGATAGTGCTGTGCAAACGTGTTAACGTGATGTACTGGTTGTTTCTCTGCTGCGTCAACTTCACTTTTATGCTAATCATTCCTGGGGTGACTTCTTGGGTCACACAGCCAAAGATTGTTGACCCATAACATCAGCTGTTTACGCCACCAAGTAGACCAAGAAGCAGGCACTGACAGTCACAAACGCGTGCAGTAACTGGGTAAGAGCAGATGAACGTATGAGTGAAGACGTATTAAACTCTGAATAACAACATTTCAGCGTAGGAAGAAAGTAATGGATGTGGCTTGACAGGGTAATATTTCACGACGAGCAACAGAAAGGTTTCCATTTCGGCTCAGAGACATGAGGAGAGAGAGGATTATTGAGCCTCTCAGGGCAGATAACTAGATAATGAACAGTCTGTGCTTTGGAGGTTTATGTTGTACGACTGCCTTTAGAGACTTACCTCACAATGTGTCTTTATCTCTGCGTGGTTTGGGTAGAAAGATGGAACCAGTAACCATAATATCTCCATAACTACATTGATGGTTGACGCAATGTTCTATTACACAGACTTGTGATTTTTGTGTTTCAGGAACGTCATCCTGTGTGCTAGGATATGAACGCACACGACAATCAGACAAGGCTGATTCACTTTACTGTCAGGAGAAGAGATGTGGCTAAGCTGGCTACCGACACGGTCAGCGGCTGTATGAACGTTACAGTTAAAGCTACGAACAGTTACAGTTACTCTCGTTTCCCTTCTCGACGTACAATTCAGTCAGAGCAGCTGTCAGTCATGACGTCACATCCTCTTTTTATAGCGTAAGATAACTAATTAAAACCAAACGTGTCAGAAATAATTAACACTTGAACACCGATCAGCATGATAAGAACTACCTAAAATGACAGAAACCATCTCGGGAAAAAAATGTTTACGTGCGCTTTGATATTTTTAGTTTGGCCCACGTTATATTAAGGGGGCGGGGTTTATGACCTGTACTGCAGCATGCCGCCAGAGGAAGGTATTTTGGCTTCACCTTCATGTCGCCCATCTTTATATGGACTGAGACGTAACTCATTCATTGGACAGTTTTAGTGATGTCATCCTGCACCATCAGTGTTACATGAACCCGCAGAGACGATCTCATTCCAGTGACTGAGAGCCAACTCAACTCCTGTACGTCAAAGTACAATACTGCTACTAGTACAATGTTGAGGTACTTGTACTTTACTTTAGAAATCCATTTCCTGCCATCTACTCCACTACACTAATCTGACATCTTAAGTGACTCGTTACTTTACAGATTCAAATTATTATCAGAAAATACTGTGTGTGCTATTTAATCTAGACCAGGTAGGAATAGACACAGAAGTAATAGATAGTACACACAGAGCAGTACGCCTCTGTTTCACTTATTTTCCTCCTGATGTATCTGGGAAAATGTGCACATCTGTTACCATGGTTACCAAATGATCTCGGATAATTCTGCGATCCTCGGAGATCGCTGGACAGGTCTCACAATAAGCAGCTGGATTTAGCAGTTTATCCATGGTATCCAATATGAAATCACACATCTACTTCCACACAGAAACGTGGTCGGTCTGCATTGCTCACATACCACGGAGTCTGATCCAGAACCAGAGTCTGATCCAGAACCAGACTGAGACCCGTTTCAAGTGGTCTCGTTCAGTCCTCAACCCGGGGACACTTAGACTGCACTCTTCTCCTTTATCTACGAATAAAAACGCGTGCCGTGATTATTATTTGTTATAAAGGCCATCATCTCATAAGAGCTCTACACATAGTGGCTTTTAGCAAAGGCCACAAGGTGGAGAGTCCACGACTATGTCAACTATGTTGTTGTTGTTGCCTGAACCCGATGACTCAGATGTCTCCAGAGAGGAAATGACATTCCAGTCGGTCGGTGTCACGCCAGCTGACTGATCGCAGTGAGTGGAAACCGATGTGAATTTTGACAGGAAATGACTGCAACATCTCATTTTCAGACGGAGCCTGGTCGGGAGGTGGGTAGCCAGGGCATCGTGCACTTTCACACTTGCTGGATCTGAGTGTGTGTGAATGTGTGTGTGAGAGAACAAACACACTTGTGTAAGTGTGTGAGTGTAAAACACGGGGAAACGCTGAAGTTTGTTTACAAGGGATTTGGCATCGTCAGTGACATTAATCCTCCCTGTTTGTATCCGGTAACAACTACTGCCACAAACAGCCGTGGCAGCTAATTCTGTCAGAACATCTTGTAGATTAAATTGGTAAAAAGCATTCAAAGTATCGTCCAAAAAAGCTGATGTTTTCCCTTTTAGATGTCACGTGAGCAAACAGTGGGATTTCTGCGAAGATTAGACGCAGCTCTACATTTTTAAAGAGGTATATTATTTGAGTTGTTTTGGACAAAACACAACTCCAACCACCATCCAATGCTATGAATATTTAAAGAAAGTTACAGAGATACACACATTCCCTGATTTATTTCCTTGACTGTTCCTGTTTGGATTCTTTCACAGACAGAAGACCTCCACCTGCTAACAGGTGCTGGCATCCTTCTCCTGAATCTCTCTCTCTCTCTCTCTCTCTCGCACACACACGTCTCCACATGCTCACATAAAAGGGTAAGAACCTGTATCGAACATGCCCGTGTGTGTCCACTTACAGACAGAAAGGCAGCAGAGACAGCAGGGTCTCTTTGGTGGGGCGGGCTGTGAACCCTGGCAGCGTCTGGATCAGTTTGTTCATCACCGTGCGAAGGTAGCCCTGCAGCTGCTTCCTCCTCTCCTCCACAAACTTGGCATCCTGCAGAGAGAGAGAGAGAAAGAGAGAGAGAGAGAGACACACACAGAGAGAGAGAGAGAGAGACACACAGAGAGAGACAGAGAGAGAGAGAGAGAGAGAGAGAGACAGAGACAGAGAGAGAACGAGTTAGTTACAGATACAAAGGTGCTTGGAAAAGCTGAGGTTAAAGCTGCAACATGAAACGTTATTCATCACACCAACATAATACATTAGTTTTAATTCCAACAAAGGATTACATGACTACGTGTAAAGGGGTCGCTCGTAGTGATGAACCAACACAGAATTATCAACCGATTCTGCGGTCCCCCTCAGATTTACGGAGCTTTAAACTAATCGTTTTGGTTTTTATGGCCCACAGCTTCACTGTTTTACCGTAGCGCTCCCACTAGTGATGTTTTCAGATGCAACAGGCAGCTGTTTCCAGCAAAAGAGCTCTTGAAATCACAAAGGGAGGAAGGTGGATCTTAAGAACACATGCTGTCTTAAGGGAACATGTTGCTTACGAGACTATGTCAAATTTAGTCTGTTTAAATTAGATTTGATTTGGGCAGTTGTGAACGCAGTAATCGCATTCTGGGGCGGACCAAAACACCGCGCTATGGGTTCGCTAGGAATCGGACCGAGACCTCCTCTCGCCAGCGGTCTCTGATTGCAGTGGGAACATAATCTGACCCTATCACTATGGCTTGTTAAAGCCCCCTTAATGACCTGTGGCTCTGTGACTCTGGAGTAGTTATGTCTTGTCGCTGTGCAGGATCAAATCTTGAACAGGTGTCCTGTGTGATTTGTCCCTCTGAGCTTTCCTTCCATCAGTACAAATACTGTATATTTGCAGCTAGGCACAACTAATGCTGATAATGACCAGGCCTCCACATACCATATCTCCCTTAACAAGCAATGCTCCACACCTTTACCTTAATATTTGTGTTTATTTTGTGATTAGGTTGCTGATGTTGAAGAACAATTAGGCACGGTCAAATGAGCATTCACACTTCTTTCACACAGCGACTCTGAAGGCAGAGAGCCACATGGCCGATGTTAGCTCGGCTCAGAACAAAGCCTGGGCACCGCTCTGGTGCTTGGGACTGGAACAAACAGCCATGGAACTGTAGGAGGCCAACATTTCCTGTTTCTCTTTTGCTCTACAATCCCAACACCCAAGTGAACGCAATTGTCTTAAAATACAAATTTGTTTTTGCTGTACAAGAAGCCCTGGTACCACACAGCACGGATAACAAAAGGCTGATGTCGGTTCAAATTCATTAATCAACGAGTGCAATTATGAAACAACTGCTTGTTCATGAATTGTTAACATCTGGTGCCCATGGGGGGGTTTCAACAAGTTACCCGCTATATTCCCAGGAGCAGAGACATTTCACCTGCACGCCCAGCTTGTGACAAAAAAATACGATACAATTGCAAAGATAATACAATCTATAACAATCAAAAAATGAGATAAATACAACAACACACATTATTTAAAAAAAGCAAACAGTAGTCATTGAGAAGTAGAATAGAAGAAGAGTCTGCAATATTGCATTTGGAGCCCTTTAGTTTTTTGTTTTAATTTTGTAAATTAAAAATGTACCGGTATTAGTATTTACTCTAACTCTCACAATCCAGAAGAAAATCTTTAAAAAATTAATTAAAAAAGCAATTTTTCAACTGTTAAATGAGTCAGTAGTTTGACCTTTTCATGTTTATTTCATTACTCGGGGAGACTCTGATGCACTATTAACACGTCTTTTTCTGAATACATGAATTCAATTACCGCAAAAGATTTTTTTTTTGTCGCTGTCAAAACAAATGGGAAACAACCACAGAGTGTAATGCATGAGGAATGTCAGGCTTTTCTCCCAGCTCGACACAGATCTAACCACCACAACCAATCAATGGCAAGAATTCTGGCTCTGCTCCACCCATGAGCCCCGCAGAGCTTTATCTTAAGGTATCAAAATAAGTGCTAAATAATAAAATAATAATTATGACTCATAGTTTTGGTTGAATTTGATTGGTGTCAAAGAACAAGAAAAACAAACAACTCTCTGAGCGTTATAAGCCGACCACATAAGTGTGACCTCGCTCATCTCTAAAAAAAATAAATGAAAGACGACAGTCAACATCTGATGTGATTCGTTGAGTCACTGACTGCGTGTGCATCGCTGCGTATCCAAACAAAGCTGTGTACAACAACAGGTGGAAAATGTGGTGAGACGATTTTCACCACCTCCACAGGATGCACAGCGACTGTACGGACACACATCAGCTGCATATTCCTGGTGCAGTTTGATCACATTTTTCCCACTGCGAACCAACCAGAAAGTTGGTAGATGACAGGCAGTGCAGTGGCCAGAGAGAACTTTCAAAAACGGAGAGTAGATAAGAGGTTCACTGTCGCCCCAAGTAGTGGATAAGCGCGGATCACTAAACTCTGCTCCGTGCCGGGTAAAATGCGCGCAGTAGGACTGGGTAAATGTGATGTGTCAGATTAGGATGTGCGTGCCAGCGTAGGTTTCATGCCGTGTCAACACGATGAGGGACTCCCCTGGCTGCTTTCATGGATGTCGGAGCAGCGAAAAACACTAATGGACATCATGACGGACTCATCCTCTTGTGGAGACGGAAGAGAGGGAAGGCTGAAGAGGCCAGGTGCTGTCTCTTGTGTGCAGAGAGGAGCGAGAAGGCAGAACAGAAACTGCTGTGGCATACTGATGCAGGTACAAGGCTGATTCTGTCCTCTCACATCTGTCTGCGCACATCAAGCTATCTCGACACTGCTCCTTCCTGGTCCCCACCCCCCCCACCGTCTCTTCCTTTCCACACCGCTATACTGATATGACATGAAGCCTAAATCAGTCTATTATTATTCATCATATGGGAAAGGACATGCATCAGCAGCACATACAAAACATGAAGGTGAGCGAGGCCTATTTCTGTCTTCTACAGGAGCGACACAGAAGCTGTGTGAAGGCAGTTAACTACACATTTGGGCTGTGTCCTTACTCTGACTTGATGGAAAAATGGCTGCCAGACGAGAGGAGAGAGAGCGAGCAGCGGGATTGTGACAAATCCATGAGTTGTGGTGCAAAATTGATATATTTAATGTGAGCAGGGCAGCACAAACAGCCACATTTATTAAGGTTATTCCCTCCACATTGGCAAGGGCAGCCCATAATGCTTTAGTACAGCATCCTTATTCCTCACCTTTCACAATAAAAGCCCTAGACCGCTGCATCACTGCGTACCAGAGGGAAGTTAAATTCACTCAGAGCATTTCTCAACAAAATAGCTTACAATATGTATTTATGACAAAAATTGATGTCAGTATTTATTATGGATGGTCCACCAATACAGAATCTGTGTTTTTCAGGTATTATGTAGGTTTTATGGCAAACCTTTTTAACCCTGTTTCTGTAGTTTATACAGTCTGCCTCTGAAGGGCACACTAGATGGTTTATGGACCATTTCTTGTGTCCTCACCTCTAGATGTCATTCACGTCATGGATTCTAATTGTCAAGATAATACGTTTCTATAAACATGCTTATCAGCAGCGTATGGGGCGATATGGCGTCATGACATGGTCATGCAACGGTAGAACGAGAAACTGGATGTATAATGTACACACACACACACACACACACACACACACACACACACACACACACACACACACACACACACACACACACACACACACACACCTCAATGTCACTTTCCAGAGAGAAGAGATGGGCAGGAGAGGGGAGACGTCAATGGAAGAAAAGTGTAAATTAGTCACATATGCGCCGGGGTCTTCACAACTGCTCAGTGAATTTGCTGCCAGCTTTACGCCTTTCAGTTCTGGGGAAGGGAACAAAAACAAATCCCAAAAGCACGTCTGAAGAACTAAATGTTGCCTGGCAACAAAAAAACATATTCAGAACTGAACAGAAAATCGATGCTTTTGACCAAGACTTTGATCCTGCTTGAAAAGTGTGGAATAACTGTGTTTTACAATGATTTGTATTCCCGTTGTGGCTTTTTTGGCTGTATTTCTTTCCAGAGACTGAGACAGGAGGGATGCAAGGACGCCATGTAATGGAAGTCTCACGCCAGATTTGCTGGTTGCATAATAAGCTGCTGTCTTGGCTAATTCAGACACTGATAATGAGCAGACTGAGAACTCATTTTGTCTAAGGATTTACCGTATGTGAATCAGGCCCTTAGTGTCTGGCATATTTTCTGGAAACAAAAAGTTTCTGAGCTTCACATATGCAAAAAAAAAGGGACATCAACCTGAGTGTTGATTTGAGCCTGCAGCACACTTGACTTAAAGAAGAGTGCACAGCATTGGGACACGCTCGGGACAAAACAAGGTCAACACGTTCCACCAAGTCAGCCCACGCCGGGCCGCAGCGAGGCTGAACGGGCTGTTCTCTGAACATGCACCAAACCGTGGGTCCGGGCCATGCATAAAACATCACAGGCACTTCAGGAACGCTCATGCAAGACCTCCACAATGTCTCTTTGACATAATTAAAAGTAAAACATGTATATTGCATAATATGTGAACACAACATACTAGCACTGGTTAATAATTCACTTTGTAGTTTCTGATTAATTAATCAGGGCAGCCTTGGCACTCTTCTCCTTGTCTGTGCAGATGGGGCGACTGCCGAGGGCAAACGGTAGTTGTGTAAGCGCCACTTCTTCTGTTATGACTACCGTTCAGGACTTTTATGTAATGCTACCGGAATTATTCTCATTGCCATTGATTTCCCACTGTTTTCATCTTGCCTATACTCTCTCCCTGTGTAAATGTCATCCTCCTTATGTAGGTTTTTCTGTGTAGACTTCAGTATTACATCGTTGTTAATGAGTTGGCATATGATTGGCTGATGATCACGTGCTCTCCAGCTTTGAAGTGGACGAGGTGAATCGTTCCATTGTGTGCCATCCGAATGCTAGGAAGGGGTCTTGCCGAGCCTCTGTAGGACCCGACTTAAAAGGACCCGTCCTT